TCAGCCTCTAGCACTGATGCTTCAGCTTTCCATTGCAGACCCTTCTGCCTCCTGATACAGAGTCTCATGAGACACTAGGGTGAGCTCCAGACCTTTGAATGCACCCTTGTGCAGACAGACCTTTTGTCCTCTTCCACAGGCAGCTGTTGTAAGTCAACCTTCTAAATTCCTATATATTTGGTGGGATTTTTTTTGGTACAGGGAATTGAATTCACGACCTCGCACTTGCCGGGCAGGCGCTGTGCCCTGCCCCTTAAATTCTTGTATATATTTGTATATCTTACCTTAAATCTGTTCTTTAGTAAGCACTGACTGATACAGAGTCATACCGTAACATTTATAGTTAATTTGCAGAAAAGTAATTACAGGTGTTAGAAATATCAAACGGATATAAAAAAATATAAGGGGAGCAGCACAAAGAAGAGATTTTACTTTTCTCATTTCTGGAGACTGAAAAAGAGTGCAAGATATGAGCGTTGTCTAACTTGGGTTCTGTTAAAATTTACCTTCTGGTAGTTGAATGTTCTCTCTCTGCCTCTGTCTCTCTGTCTCTGCCTCCCTTTCCTCTACTTTCCCTTCCTCTATCCCAGTGGGTACTATAACTACAGGAGAACAGCTATGTGAACAGGTAAAATTCTATTTAAATTTGAAAGTGTCAAGGCTGGGGATATAGCTCAGTGGTATAAGTACTTGCCTGGCAAACACAAGATCATGAGTTCAATCCCCGGTACCACAAAAAAAAATTTTAAAAGAAAAGAAAAAAAGTGTCATATTCTAAGTATTTGGTCAAGGCTTCAACATAAGATAGGGGACAATTATTCCATTCATCACAAAGTCAGAAATAAGCAGGAAAAATATTATCAAACAGGATTTCAAATCATGCTACCCAGATGTGACTCTATCAACTAACAGGTAATAAAGAAGCTTTAACAGAGGACAGAGGTGTAAAAATTTTATAAAGTTGGGAGAAAAAGGGAGTAGGAGGCAATATACTTTCAGAAAGGATCAAAGAGTGAGATATTCACACCACATGTTAAGTCAATGTAATAATCAGCACAAAAGGAATAATTTATCAAAACAAAGAACAACATTGAAAGAACAAAAATTAAGAACAAGATATGTTGGACTTTTTCAAATGCTTTTTCTGCATCTATTGAAATGATCATGTGATTTTTTTCCATGTTTCTGTTTATACGGTATAATACATTTATTGATTAGTGTATATTGAACAATCCCTAGTTTCCTAGCATGAAGCCTAACTTGTCATGGTGTATGAATTTTTCTTTTCGCTGCTGCCTTCTGTTTGCCAGTATTTCGTTGAGAATGCTTGCACCTATGTTCATTAAAGAAAAAGGCCTGTACTTCTCTTTTTGGTTGGACCCCTTTCTGGTTTTGAAATCAGGCTAAGGCTTACTTCCAGAAATTACTTGTGGAATACTTCTTCCCTTTTGATTTCAAAAGAGTTTGAAAGAGTTTGGCATTAGATCTCTAAAGTTCTTGTACCACTCAGTAGTGAATCAGCCAGGACCTGGGCTTTTATCTCTCTCTCTCTTTTTTTTTAATGACTTCCTCAATTACTTTTACTGGTATGAGATTATTGAGAATTTTTATATCTTCTTATTTCAGAATCAATATCTTATAGGGATGTATGAATCTGCCCATTTCTTCTGAATTTTCCATTTTGATAGAATACAGGTTCTATAAATAGTTACCATTCATCTGGATTTCAGTACAGTTCATTGGAGTATCACCTTGTTCATCTCTAGTTCCAAGGACTGAGGCCTTATTTTTTAACTTTGGTAAGATTAGTTAAGGGTTTGTTGTTTCAAAGAATTAGCTCTTCAATTCATTGATTTTTATCATGCTTTTAGTCTGATTTAACTTTTGCTCAGATCTTTGTAATTTTCTTACAAATGATGAAATGTGTATATTGTTTAAATTTGTATTTCTCTAATGACCAGAGATACAGAAATTTTATTTCATTGATTTATTGACGATTTCTACTTCTTCTGAGAAGGATCTACTCATTTGAACTGCCCATTTTTAATTGGATCTTTTATTCTAGAAGGTCCAGTATATTTTCATATTTTGTTTTTACATACTCTACATACTAGTCATTTTTCCAAGATATGCCAAGCAAATATTTTTTCCATTCTGTAGGTTGGTTGTCCCTTTACACTGTTCCTGGTTTCCATTCCTGTGCAGAAGCTATTTAAATTCATATGATTTCATTTCTAGATTCTGTACGTGATATCCTGTGCATATGGGGATGTTTGTCCATGACTATGTCTTCAAGAGTTTTAACTATTTAAGCTTTCAGAAGATTGTTT